GCTTTTGGAGTTGTATAACAGGTACCCGAACCTGCCAAGCAATTCCACTAAAACTTCGCAAATATATCTGATCTATAATTGGACACACAACTGCCAAGTTTCATGAATTTAACTTTATTATTTTTCCAAATGTTTAAAATTAGCTTTTGGAGTTGTATGGCAGGTACCCGGACCTGTCAAGCAATTCCACTAAAACTTCGCAAATATATCTGATCTATAATTGGACACACAACTGCCAAGTTTCATGAATCTAACTTTTTTATTTTTTCAAATATTTAAAGTAAGCTTTTGGACTTGTATGGGAGCTACTCGAACCTGTCAAGCAATTGCACCAAAACTTCAGAAATATCTTTGACCTATAATTGGACACACAACTGCCAAGTTTCATGAATCTGACTTTATTATTTTTCCAAATATTTAAAATAAGCTTTTGGACTTGTATGGGAGCCACTCGAACCTGTCAAGCAATTCCACCAAAACTTCAGAAATATCTTTGACCTATAATTGGACACACAACTGCCAAGTTTCATGAATCTGACTTTATTATTTTTCCAAATATTTAAAATAAGCTTTTGGACTTGTATGGGAGCAACTCGAACCTGTCAAGCAATTCCACCAAAACTTCAGAAATATCTTTGACCTATAATTGGACACATGACTACCAAGTTTCATGAATCTGACTTTATTATTTTGCCGAATATAAAAAATTTGCTTTTGGAGTTGTATGGCAGCCACCCGAACCGGTGCAGCTATCTCATTAAAATTTTTAGAGCATATGTAGAATATAATTGGACACATGTATACAAAATTTTATATTTGTACCTTTATTAGTTTTTGAAATAATTAAAATAAACTCTTTGAGTTGTATGGCAGCTACCCGAACCCGTTGTCCGAATTGGTCCAATAACAATAGGGTTCGTCCTTGGCACAAAAGAAGCAACTTGTGAAAGTTTGGTGTCGATTGCATTATTCGTTTTTGAGTTATCGTGCGATCGGACGGACGGACGGACGGACGGACGGACGGACGGACGGACGGACGGACATGTCTAAATCAACGCAGAATTTTACGCTGAGCAAGAATATATATATATGTCCATACCGCAGATGACTCCTTCAAGTAGTTACAAACTCCATACCAAAGTTAATATACCCTTCACGAAGTGCAGGGTATAAAAAAGTTTTTGTATAGATATGCATATTTATACATGTAAAATTACATACAACAGAAAAGCAAAAATTGTACATAATGCCAAATAAAAAGAAGCAACAGAAAATAAAGCTTTAGTAGTCCTTTATTAAATAAGAATGTCGAGTTTGGTTATTGTTCACTTTACAAGCTATGTTAATATGGTATTAGTTTACTGTTTTCAAGTTTGACACATATAGGTTTCTAATATTAAGGAGCAATAGGAATGTGTCGTTTTTGAGAAAACTTTAAAAAATTGCTAATAAATATAAATTAAAATTAGAACTAAGTCGCTCAAATGGCAAAAATGTCAGAATAAAATATAAAACTACAAGTATGGTTGAATTTGTTAAAGAATCAAAATATCAAAAAAAAACTTATTCATAACAGTTCATAACAGATGAGGGAAAATGGGAGGATAAGGTGCTTTATTCTTTTCCTTAAAATATTTTTTTTTGGTGTTTGTTATAATATTGAAATCTTTTAAATTTCATTAAAATATTCTTAATAATTTCAAATATTCCTTGTTTACTTTTCATATCCTCCCGTTAGTGCTTATAAAGTTAATTTTTGTTCCCGTTATCAAAACAAATTATGTGAATTTTTATATATTTCATTAATGTCTAAATGTAACTCTGTGTATATACGAAGAATATACCATGTACACATACATATATGTATATGCACAAATTTTAATACTTTGGTGTTTTAAACACTCATTACTGTAAATATATGGAGGAATATTACACAAATTTTAAAAAGAGGAACCAGAAATCAAAATAGTAACAATAATTGTATAACAGTAACAACAACTAAACAACATGGTAATGTTCTAAGGTAATGTTATAAAAATTAGATACGGTTGATTCTTTTGTTGTACTTTATTTTTTATTTTGTTTTTTTTACAATTTAAAAGGAGTCAAAGGGTAGGTAGATATAATGTCGCATGTAATAGTCAAAAGAAATGAAAATAATGAAAATAAACATATAAAAAAAAAACAAATTACATTAAAAAGAAAAGCAGCCCAGGAAATGGTGTGAAAACACAGTTGGAATTTGTTCGGATTTTATGGTGAATTGAACAAAGAAATTAGTGATTTTGGGGGATGTTTTTATGTTATTTTGTTGTTCCAGTAATTTCTGTTTCCTTTCCCTTTCTTTGAAATTTTGTTTCTTCTTTTATTCTGATATCATGTTTTTTTTTAAGTTCATTTTTTAACAATATTCTTTTTTTTTACTTGTGTTACAAACAATACATTGTGTATTGTTATACATTATATTTACTCGTACTTTTATACATACGCAGTAGATATTGTTCTATATAGTGTAAATTTTAACCAATTCGCTATTATATTTATGTACGGTACTACTTGTATTTTTATTTTTTGTTTTGGTACCAACTTAGAGATTTCCATTTTTATTTAACAGAGTTTGAATTTGATAATGACGACTTTTTATTTCTGTAACAAGTAAATTGGTAACAAAAAAAAATTTAAAAATAAGAACATAAAATAAATGAAACAAAACTAAATGTTAAATTTGAATTGGAAGGAAAAAGAAAATTAAGGAAATTGAGTTCATTTTCAGATATTTTTCTTTTACTATTTGATTGAAGTAATTGGCAATTTGTAATATGATACAAGTACATACAAATTAGAAAGTAAATCTAATTGTACAAATACTTTTTTGTTATAGTTTATATATAACACTTAGTTTCTTTTTAAATTCAAACTTTAAAGTAAACTTAAATTTAAATTGCACAAATTGTGTGTTATTTTATTTAAAATATTGAGATTAAATAAGGGAAAATCATTATTTATTTTTGGAAAAACCAATGTTTTGTAATTAAGAAATTTTCCCTTCAACTCCCTTATTTAAAGGATTGCATACATTTAGGATGAACAATTTATACAGTCTTTGAAATGAAGCAACAAAAAATTTAAAGAGGCGTTAACATAAATCGAAGGTGCCAAAATTCAAAAATTTCCGAATTTTGAGTGGCGATAACTTGAGAGACTGGTGGAGGTGGGAAAAAATTTTCTTTTAACCAAATGAACTATTTATTGGTGTCTAAAAGCTGTTAAGAATACAGACTTTTACAACCTGCGGTCTAGAAAAATGGCATAAAAAATTTTAACGACCATTTTATTTTTTTAAAGTTCAATAAAGAATGCCGTAGTAGAAGAAACAAGCCACTATGTTTCTGTGTTTGCAAAATTTGAAACATTATGTTTCATAATTTCATTTCAATAAATAGTTAAACACTGGCATTTTTAGGACTTTGAGGGGCTAAAACTTTCAGAGGGGGGGGGGGGGGGCAGATAAGAAAATTTTTCCTCTACAGAAGTAAGTTTCTAGTAAAGATGTATATATACATATAGAATTTTAGCTTTCTATCTTTAAGGGTGTAGAAGTTTTGTAAGCATATTCACGGACGGACAGAGTAAAACTAATAAGCACTTTTTTTCAAAAATTTTTTGGAAAAGTGCCAAGAAGTACATAATGTGAACGTCATACTATGACCCATTCGTTAATAAAAAATAAAAGTTTGTTTTAATTTAATGCGTTTACTAGTGTAGGTAATTTTAGTTTTTTACCACATTATAAGGGAACATCATTGAATTTTCCACGCTTGTTGTACAAATACAAAAAACCATTACAAATAATTATTCGAACATATAGTCTGTTGAATTTGAACGTAATTTTTAAAATATTTTAATTTGAGTCCCCAATTCATTAACGTTGTCGTTGTAAGAACACTAATACAAAAGTATTTAACATTTGATTACACATTCATACAACGAATATGTATTAGCAGTATAGTGTAATATGAAAATTTATTCTTACTCTTCCTGGTATGTGTTTTAGTCCGTCTGTTTATCGATAACTATTAATTAATAGTATTTTATTACTTTTCTAATGCAAAAATCGTTACTTATATGTGAGAATTTGTTTTTTCTTATTTCGTTTAAAATACCTTATGCCAATAATAAACATTATTCTTATCGAATATTTTGAGTTTTTAAAAATAATCACTTTGTAATCAAGTAAACGTCAAAAATATTATGCTGAGATAATTTTAATTGGGCAAGTTTTCAATTGTATTTGAAATAGAGAGTAATACTAGAGACAAAGAAAATAAAAGAGCAAATTATCGATTGAGCTAGCAAGTTTATTTAAATCAAAAGAACAAAATTTACCATAAAAATGTATTTTACACAAGATTATCTTGTGGAAACATTTACACAACTTTCATCATCACAACTTTCTATATAATTCAAGTATATTCTCCGAGTCATGGTGAAATATTGAGTAACTCCACGTTTTGCATGATTTTGTTTTAATATAAAGTTGATAATTACAAGTCAAATGGTTATCAAAAACTCGTTAAAATTATTTCTGGGCTTCCACAAGCTATTATGATTAATTTTTTTTTTTTCAGATTTGTTTATTTTTGTACTAAGACAAAATTAATAAAGGAAAATAAATTTTAGTTAAAAATCTTTGTTTATGTACGCAACATCTTAACGTGTTAATTTTAAAGAATAAATTAATTTTAATAATTAATTGTTAAAACCTTTTGGCCTATACATTTAAGTAAAACTTTAAAATGAATTCATACTGTTTTTAGAATTTTAAAATGAAAAATGGTTATTCTATTAGAAATGCTTTTGTGTTGCAAACTTTAAAAGTGACTTTATTAGGGAATTTTACATTTAATTTATTAAAAAATTTAGCTTATTTCTTATATAATTTATTTAATAAAAATAATTATTATTATAATTATTAATAAAAAAAATAATTAAATAAAGTAATGCTGCTGTCTCAAGCTTTACTAACGTTGGGATTTGTTGTCTTTCTCAATGTTGATGAAAAAGTTGAAGAAACAATTAATAAATCTACTGAACAAAACAATAATAATAATAATATTGGAAATTTTAATCTCAAAGTAGAACGTTACAATAATGATGGTATAAGGAAAAGTGTCATATCACAAAATACAATAGTTTTAAAGCCAAATGATTTACTTAGAGAAAGAATTTTGAAAAACCTTGATATTCCAGATAATAATGGTGTACAAATAAATTATAAGCAAATTGTTATTAGAAGTCAACGTAAAAATGATGGAACACCATATATAATTTCACAAGTTGTTCATGAAGGTATTGACAGTATAATAAATTCAACTAAAAGAACTTCTGCTGATAATATAAAAGATGAAAGCAACAATAATCATATTGCTACAGCAAATTTTAGTCCACTCTTCACGTCACTTCTTAATAAAGCTGGCAAAAATTGTGAATACTCAAAGACGATTGTAAACAATAATCAAAGAATATGCAAAGGGCAATTAATATTTCAAGATGATTTCAATGAATTGAACTGGGATAAATGGCAAAGAGACATAAGAATACCTATGGATACGGAAGACGCAGATTTCGTATCTTTTCAAGGTTTAAAACAAAATTTGTACATAAAATATGATAATTTATATATTTTACCAACATTATTGAGTGAATTACCAGATTATGATGACAATGCTATACGATCGGGTACATTAATATTAGGACCAAAGTAAATATTTGCATATAAATATACAAATTTTCTGATTTAAATTCGATTATTTTGGAAAATGAAGTTACAAATTTTTTCTTTTAGCTGTACAGGTGTTATAAATCGGGAAGTAGAATGTAATAGACAAGCTTTTGCATACCGTATTTTACCACCAATAGTATCCGCTCGTATCACAACTAAAAATAAATTTTCATTTAAATATGGTATTGTAGAAATAAAAGCAAAATTACCAAAGGGAGACTGGCTATTTCCACGTAAGTTGCTTCAAATTATCTTTTAAATAGCAACTTATTAAACGAGAGTTCATTATTATGATATAGAATTATTTTTGGAACCTTTAAACAATCATTATGGATCTGAGAGTTATATTTCTGGTCAAGTACGTTTAGCATTTATCAGAAGCAATGAAATATTAAAAACAAGTAGTAATATTTCAATAGACGGTTCAAAACTTTTTGGTGGAGTTGTATTATCACAGGAAGACAAACACAGAGAAATTTGGATGGAAAATTCTTTCAATAGAAATAGCCATTATGGTGATAATTATCATGTGTACAAAACACTTTGGACCGATGAACTTATATCATTTTATGTTGATGAAAAAGAATATGGTACTTTATATGGTAATTTTTCATATGAAGCTTCACATTTATATAACATGAAATATTCTAATATTTGGAAAACTGGCAATAAAATGGCTCCCTTCGATAAAGAGGTTTGTGTTTTAGTTCAATATTTTAGATTTATTTATTTAGGACAAATATTTTATATAAATTTTTTTTTAATTAACATTTTAGTTTTTTATATCAATTGGTGTATCAGCTGGTGGTATATCAGATTTTCCAGATCATTGTATAAGTGGATCGAATCAAATTGATCAGAAACCTTGGTTAAATTTTGATAGTAAAAATGAATTGAATTTTTGGAAAGCAAGATATAAATGGCATGGTACATGGAAGGGGGAAGATGCAGCACTAAAAGTCGATTACATTCGTGTGTGGGCACTTTAATTATGATTATTTAAAATAGGTTTTGAGTTAAGTATTACTATTATTAGGGCCCAGTTCTCTAAGTATTATAATTGAAATATCTGTATATACATACATATATGTATGTATATATATGCGTTCTACTTATTTTAAACAAAGGAGGATAAGAAAAAAATTCCAATTGATTTTTGTTTAACTTAAGGTTTACCTTAAGAACTTACATAATGATTTTATACCGAATTACAAAAAAAAAATACTAAATTTCATAATAAGGTTGAAAAATCAAGTAAACCAAATATTCATACAAAAATTACTGGTTTTTAAATTGTAGACGGAAAGTTCCTTAAGAATAAATAAGAATTTACTTTTGAAGAGTCTGTGTAAATAAGGCAAAAATTACGAAAAAAAATTTTTAAACCGCGATAAAACTAAGAATTACAGTGGAAAAAAAAGATATTAATCTTTTATGTTTTTGGAGCTAATTTTCGTTGAATGCATGTACATTTTTTATAGAACAATATTAATGTTTATATATTTTGTGTTACAAAAAAACTAACAATAAATTTTCTTTTCTGTACAATTTAACGGAGCTTTAAAGAAAAATTTCTTTTGTAATTTTTTCTCCCATTTCACTTTATACTAAATCATTTATGATATTTTTCTTTTCCAATGCTTGAATATTGTGCTTTATAAGAGGGAATTAGACTTGTTTTTTTTTTTTTTCAAATGTTTTGTTTAAATAAGCAAATACATACAAACACCTTAAATCTCTTTAAATGACATATGCTGACCTTTATTTGATTTGTAAAAATCTACTCAATTTGCTTGCACAACTTTAACTAGGGTTAAAGGAGAAATTAGAAGAATTCTAGAAATATTTTGTGCACAATACCTTCGCGATTGAGCCTTAGACTTTTTCACTAACTTCAATCTAACAAATATCCTTTAGTTACAGTGCATAATTTATTGTAATATTTTTGTTTTTTTTTTTCCCGAATTTTTTGCATTAAAAATGTAAAAAATGATAAAAACAAAAGTTATAAAAAAAACAAAAGAAAAAAGACAAATGACAAAAATTTTTACTTACTTTCCAGTTACGAATGTTTTATTGTTTGCGCAATAACAAAATTTTACTTTTTCATATTTTAATGTTTTGCTTACGGCTAAAGCTTGTGCAATAACGTAAAAATAATGATAAAAATTTTTATGAATATAATTCACAAAAAAAAACAAAATTAAAAGTCAAGAATAATAAGCATAAAAACCAAAATTGTAACAGTACAAAAACAGTTAGCTTCTAGTAAAAACCAATGGACGTGGGTGGTTACAGGGGTGAGTGGACATCACTTTTAAATAATTCTGTTTGTTGGCTTTATTCTACTGATATTTCTTAATTTTCTGTTTTTCATTCGGTTCATTATTTTAGATGTAGTCGTTAAGATTGTGGACAAAAATTTTTTTATTGTATTACAAGACAATATCTTTAAGAAGTAAAAAAAAACAAAAATGAAAATAACCAACAGGAACAATAGTATGAAAGACAAGGCAGTTTACATTCATATACGTTTTGTATTTTATATGAATAAAAAATAAAAATTATTAAAAAATTTTTCTTTCAAATTTATGTGAAAATGTTTGTTCGAATGCATTATACGAGAAATAATTGAAATTCATTTTGAATAAATATTTTGGAACGAATTTAAAATAAAGAAACTTTATTTAAAAATTCCTGTATGTGTATACACACACATATATATATATATATATATATATATATGTACATACGTAAGAATAGAAAGATGTAATACATTCGCCGACGGATATTGTGTCTACAACACCCACAGGTTTCTCAGATACAAAGGGATATAATAAACCTGAAATATAAAAAGCCTAGGAGAGAACAGAATTCTAGAAAATAAAACTTTTGAAGAAATTCTTTAATATTTTGACAATTTTTTAAATGTGTTTATGTTCGTATAAGTATGTTGACACATTATTTATAAAATATTTTCTTAATTTCTATTGAACGATTCCTATGATATGTAATTATAACAAGTCAGATTATTTGGTATGGAATTTACTATATTTTGTAAGGAAAAATATTATTTTGTTAAATCTTTTAAGTTTTAAAAATTTTTTTACCAAAAAATTTAAAATATTTTCATTTATTTAAATTGAAAAATTTCCATCTTAAGAACTTGTGGCTTCCTCATTTTTCTAAAAATAATTTAAATTATCCTGTGTAACTTGAAGCTTTCAATCTTTCTTCTATCTATGTATACATAGATAATATTGTTGTAATATGAAAATAATTCTTTGCGTGACACGATACAAAATGATGGTAATTTTATAAAATATTTTTTATTGAACGCAAACTGTTGCCTACATTTTTATGGTTAAAATTGAGTATAAAAATTTCAAAATTGTGAAAGAGCAACGAGCAAAAGATTTTGCAATTTTTTTCCTTTTTTTTTTGTGTCTTTTTAACGAGTACATGAATGGCTCGGCTATATTAAAATTCGTTGTTGTACATTTAATGTTCGTTTAAGTTTTTCTTATCTATATACGCACATAGGTACATATTATATAAGAATTTTTATATTGTAACCTCTGCGAATAATTACATGTAATAAAATTACATTTAAATTTACCATAGTATTACACATATAATATGTTTTTATTAAAAATGGCAGTTAAAAAACTCCTTTATTAAATTTTCAATTAAATTATTTATGTAAATATTTAAAATTTAGTTTTTAATAACTTATAAAATTTCTGGAAGTTAAATAACTTATTTGGTTTGAATAATCTATTTTTTTGGGTTTGTTAAGAAGGCTAAATTGACACAGTCTATTGGTAATTAGTATAATTTGTTTAATGTTCTAAACCTAAAATAGCATAAACTATAAAAATGGTCTTAATAATTAAGATTGACTTATTTTTTGAATCAGCATAGTCTTTACATTGGATTGTCACATAAAAACAACATTGCGCATTGCAGTAAACCAAAGAAATTAAAGTTTTTTAATAACAAACAAAATTAACACCATATTAAAGATGTTTAAAGATTTCTATATGTATGTAAGTAAAATATATAGTACTCGTAGCAGCATAATATGACAACCTTCATGTTCAATTATTATACATACAAATGTTTTTTAAACAAACCGGTGTTTAATAGTCAGATTTTATGTTCAGTCAAAATTTTTTTAATCAATAGCAATAGTAAAGGTTCTTGTTCTAAGACATTTGTAAAAATTGAACTTTTTTGAAAGTTATATATGTACATAGCTTCATGCACATCATTTTTCACTTATCAATTGGCGCATAGAATAGATGCATAATATATCACTTTCAGTAGGCGCATAATTGTATATAAATAATTTGTTATAAACTAATTGTACGGCACATTGAGTAAATTAAATTGTATACTCGAATATTATATATGTAAGTTTTTATTTAGATTTAAAAATGTATTAAAATGATTTTAATGGTCTCGAAGAATTTGAGTTTCTATTATACATTTATTTCTTTGTTATTATGTTAAACGTATTTATTATAGGTGTTATCTAGTTTTTTAATACTGTATACGAAAATACTATTGAAAAGATTGTTAAAATTTAATCGATCTACTTCCTCAAACTTATGAATAAAATGAGCATTTTATACATAAAAATCATTTAAGTAAAATTCTTTTCATCATTAATTGATTTTAAATAATAAAAAATCCTTTGAATACGATAGAGAGAAAAGGCAAACAATAAAATTGTATATGTGTATGAGTGTAAGTATATGATATACAAAATAAGCAAAGAAATAATAATGAAGTAATAAATTACTAAATCAGTAGGTATCTGAAATTTTTTTTCGTTTATAAGGTTTTTCTTTACTAAGTAAATTTCCAATAACTTCAATACCAATCGATTGTACAATGTACATATGTATGTATTTATTTTTTTTTCAATTCAAGTTAAATTAATCTATTGAATTCTTTGACAATCATATGCTGTTACAAAATTAAGAGCACATAGGTACAAATATATAGGATAACTTTGTATAGAATTAGGAAAAATAAAAAGAGAGAAAAAGAAAATAAAATAAGGACTTCTTTTATTCGAAATCCAAATCCAATTTCAACAACTAAACAATGTTATGTGTACACGTATGTATGCCCTATTAAATAAAACTTGTATTTAATAGGCACATGCCTCTATGTTTTAATATAGATAAACCAAAAAAATAAAATAGCGTAATTTTCTCGGATTTCTATCCTATTATGAATATCGGCGATTTTTCGAACGAATTTTCTGAATTATGTAAATTCGAATGTCGAAGAAGTTTATGTGGAAAAGAAATTTCGAATAAATCTGTTATAATATTTAATTGTTTCAATTTTCAATTATTTATATACATTCATAATTTTAATTGTAAATATTAACAACGATTACGAATTCTAATATATTTATACATGAATTTCTATACCATTGAACTGTCTTTCGTTAATATTTCAATTAATATCAAAAACTCCGAAGAATTCCGGGTTTTAATAGATTGTTATAAATCAAATTGTAGTTCTGCTGACATATTTTACTATATAATATCGGGAAAGTGAAACAAAAAAATAGGTCAAATACAGAATTTATTGTATGAAATTCCCTGTAGGGTGATTTTATATAAACTTTACAAAATGTTGGATTCATAATGTATACTATATTACTCATTTCTATGTCATATACATACGTAATGTGTATTACATACAAAAATATTATTTAATGTTTATGCATCAAGTTGCATTTGTAATATTTTTTTACAAGAGTACATAAAAAATATTGCATTTAATTAAAAGCATTTAAAAAAGAGTATTTGGTTCTAAAATGAAGTGATTTTGTTTAATAGTTTCAATATGGAAATTGACAATTTCGGAAACAAAGAAAATATTTAATTTTTTTTTTACTAATATTGAAATTGAATAAAGATTAATATTGGAGTACATAATACAAATTTTCTAATGGAGAACTCTACTTCGTGTTAGTAAAAGTGAATCAAAGTCTTAGCCAATTGCAAATTGGAAAAGGGTTGGTTGTGTTTTCAAAAGTTGTGCTGAAAACTTGGATTGTCATGGTTATTTAAAAAAATTTAAAAGGTGGTTTTATATAAGCTATGTTGTATACAAAATGTGACTTAACGTGTATGAGTATGAGTTATAAAATAAAATGAAATAAAACTAAATTCTTGTAAAAATAAAGAATGGAGGAAGGACGTCAATGAAACTTGAGTTGCGAAAATAAGTTGAATTTTGAAAATTTCAAATGAAATTTATAATAGCCTTTGGAACCTATATGTACAGTTAAGAAACTTTTGCAGTAATTTGAATTATTACATCATATTAAATAATTTGTTACATTATATTTCAAATATGTATTTATGAAAATTGTGCAAACGTATAACAAAT